GTCCACTGTTTGTTGCACTATCCTGACTCACTAACGTTTAGATAGATAACAGTTATGTACAATTGCCATTCAACTTGAAGTAATCAGTCACAGCATAGGATTTATCGGCTCCATGCACATGACATTTCTAAGTTTGTATTGTTTTATTTGCATGCTTTTAATTATAAATTTTAAAACCTTTTTTCCCCTCCAAAAAATCCCCTTCATCTTTCCCAGACTGTATGTGTACTATATATAGTTGATTATCCCCAGAGCTCCATCAGTTGTCTGGAATAGTAACTTTGAATGACTTGGTGTTCTTATCCATTCCCCAGACCAAACAAAAGTGTAAATTAAAACTGTTGTACACTTGTTCGATTTTTAATTGCAGGGCTTCTTCAGTAATGCAGTACAAGTTGGATTTATGCTCATGGTTAGTTTTCTTTCAAGGTGGTAACATGCCATTTTTAAAGCCTACAAATAAAACATTTATTAACTTACTACACACTGAGTGGAAATACAATTACTGAGCAAAGCCATGTATGCAACCTCGTTGGAAACTGTATTGTGTGAAAATGCCACCTTCAGGTCAGATTTAGTTTCAGATGCTCCTGTCAACTATGTCCTTTTCAGGCAGTTAGCCTCCTAAGCTGCTAAATATACAGGCATTTATGAATAAAACATGTAGTTCTGCTAGACTTTACTTACATCAGGGTCCAGGTACTTTGTGACACTGAATTAATTTGGACTTGAGCATCCAAACAAAATGTACTTCTTGGCAGCTTGTCAGGTTCCTTTCTGCCACTATATGCTTATCTTACTTTTTTAAAACTATTTCTTCTACACTATTGTTTAACAGTTGCAGTAAGTTTTGTATGTATTCACCACAATCATTTGATACATGTACAGTAAATGACGCTTTGCTATTAGTTTTAATATAGATTACATAGCTGATTAGAATTATTGTTTTGGCAAAAACTTTTTCCATTAAATATTTTAATATAGTTACTAGTTTTAGTAAAAAAAAAAGTTTCTTTAGCCATTGAAATAAGTTTCTCCACTGCGAAGCTTGTATGTTGTGATGAAATTGTTCACTTTAGAATGCAGCAGCTTAAAGTGGTTGCGATGGCGTACTGAATTTCAGTAGCAGTATATGAAAGGTTTAGGATTGTGTGGTATCAGCTCTTTTCCCTAGATAAGCTAATGTAATGGTAATGAAATATGATTACCTCTTCTGTAACTCAGTAGGAGTGTTATTATCCTTGTCAAAGTCAACCTTTTCATGTCTTAAGTTGACTGTTATTGCTGTAGTAGATGTCTGGCTGAATTATTGCAGATAAGTCATTCCTAAAAAGCATTAATATGCAACTCCTTAGTGAGTAAATTAATGTTTTAAAATATCTTAAGTGTCCAACCTCTCCTCTAAAGGGTTCATGAAATCATATCTAAATGTGTGGAATTAAATCCTTAAAATTAAATTAAGAATAATCCTTGCATTTGGTATAGCACCTTATCACAGTGGAAGGATGTCTCAAATCACTTCACAGAATTTAATGTGAAATTAAGTATTTGTAGACAAACATGGCAGCACAATTGTTCCCTGCAATGTCCCGCAAAGAACCATGAAATAAGTGACCAATATTTATTTGGGAATTGTTGGCCAGGGCACCAGGAGAAACTCTCTTCTCTTTTCAAATAGTGCCATTAAGCAAGGTTTCCTTGGAGTTGAACTGGCTCCAAGGTGACATGCCTGACAATGGAATGTCGGAATCGAGCAAGCCCTCTGTGGTGGTCTCAGTAGTCCAGTTCCTGAGCCAGGAGGCTCTACAGTATTCTAGGTTGGCAGGCCCTGGAAGGGCAGACCAGTCACTGGGGGAATGGAGTCATCCTACTTAGCTCCAGTTAATCCTGCAAGCAAAAGCCCTAACGGATAGGGTGGTCCTAGCTGGATAAGCAGTGGGAAAGCTTGCTGGACAGCAATATCATTGGTAAGCTGTGTGGTTTTAACTGGTTAAACTCCAACAGTACCCCAACGCACACTCTAGGGTCTCCAAGCCTTGGCTCTTGCCCACTTGCACCTAATAGTTTTCGGAATTAGGTAAACAGGATGTATCCCTCCAGGGAGAGAGTGCGCATTCCATTCCAACAATCTATCTCTGGAATTTCCATGTGATGGTGGGATGCATGGACATCTCGGGCTGGTTTAGATACTCTTATGCATGGTGATGGGTTTCTGCACGAGTCAGACACCCGGCTGACCAAACAAAATGCTATGGCAATCTATAATGTCAACCAGAACAGGCAGACGGGACCTCATCTGAAGGACGGCTCCTCTCCTTTGCTGCATTGGAGTGTCAATTTGGACAATGTGAATTCAAGTCCCGATGTGGGATTTGAACCCACAACCTCCTCAATCAGAGGCAAAAGATGACTACAAACAACTTGAGTTCCCCCTTGTGTTTCCTGTTTGCACCCATCAATTGGATTAGGTGTTATTTTCCCACAGTTGTTAGTATCTTCCCATCTCTGGCCCACATTAGAATTTGAGCTCATAATCCAGATGATGTTCTTCTGCATTGTGGGGATATTTTGCATTGTTTGAGATTAACATTTCATTCAAAGGATGTAAATTGAAATTACATTGCTTTCAAGTGGATATTAAAGTTCCATGACACTTTAAAAAGAAAAGAGTTTCTCCCAATGTTTGGGCAGTAATCAATGAGGTTAATAAATCCTTCACCACTTGGCTGTTTGTGGGTTAAATCTCATCTGAAGGAAGCACTTCTGGCAATGGAGTGTTTCCCCAGTACTGTCTGGACTGTGTGAACCCACAACTTACAATATGGCGAACACCTATGAGGAATTTAAATCCTATAAAAAGTCTTATGACTTGTTTATCGTCAAGCTTTACCTTCACATTCCATGTTGCTCAACTCCTCCCCCCCCCCCGCGCCCCCCACACTACCACCCTCTTTGGAAAATCAAGTCTTCCACTTAAGTTTGAATGTAGTGCATTTTAGTTGACTCAATATCATTTTGCATAAATGTAGCCAGTTACTTAGGAGCACTGTCTCGCAAAAAGTCTTCTGCATAAAACCCAACAATACTAACAGATGGTATTTGGCTTTTCTCTACATAATATGCTTTGGTAAATTGGCAGATGTCAACTATGTATAGTGCTAAAAAGGTGCAGTTAACACAAATTTTGTGTTAAATATTCTTTCAATTATCACTTGCATTCGTCCCTCCTCAGGGTGTTTTTCTTTGTATTTTATGTCTGATATTAATACAATTAGAGTAGCACATCCTCAATTAGGTGTCTTCTGCACTCCCCAGGGACAGACACAATAGTGAGCCTATCATGTCAGTGTTCTTGTGCATGTACTACCATGGAAACGGGGTCAGGCAGCAGGGTGGTTTGCAGTAATATACAGCTTCAGCTCCTTGAACTACAGCTGAGTCAATGGTAGGTTTGGTCTAAATCCAGGATTAGTGCCCATCAGTTTTTAATGTTTCGAAAGTAGATAGATATTTTGTGTTCCAAAATAATTGTATTCAGTTAGTAGTAGAATCACTGTAGTATAGAAACATTAGTGATTCTCATGATTCTCAGTGTGTCATGCAGGATCTTTAAATGCATTGTATTGCAATGTTTTCACAGCAGTGAGTTCACGCCTTGCAAAAAGCCTCACGGAGGTCACATCGGTCATTGATCTGTATTTATGTTTGTGGCCTTGTGTACCTATTTTGTTTTTTATTATTGGGTTTTCATTTTTCTGCAAACTTGTTCATATACAGTCACTACAGTTTACAATATAAATCGTATGAAGCGCTTTGAGACAACGTGATAAGGCACTATAACTCCAAGGATTATTTTTATTATGTAGCATATTACTACCATAACTCTTTTTACGCATAAATGATCGATTAATGGACCTGCATTCACTGGAAAGGGAACATTTTAAAGTTTACTAATTTATTGAAATGCCTTTACATCTTAATCTTTGTCCAGTCTCTTTCTATCCTCTCTTCATGTTGAATATAATAAGCTACCTGGAAAATGGAGCTAATGTCAGATGGAAATGGGCACTGTATCAGTGTCCTCAACACACAGATTTGAAATGGTACTGTTGAAATAATGTATATTTCAATTGAAACAAACTTTGCAAGTTGAGTTTATCAGTAATATTTATGATCTTTAATATGATCTTTTGTTGTAGAATCATTACTTCTATAAATATAGTTCCTTTGAACTTTGTTAAAAGTTTAATTTTGTTGAGCTTTCTTTCCATTTATTTATAAATTTAGGTCATTTAATATCTTTTCAAAAGTTATTGTCACATCAACAGTCACGACACATTACAGTAGATCCATGTTTCAACCAAAGATCATTATTAAAAAAAAGTATTGATTGAAGCTCTAACAATTGCTTTGCATTCTGACGTCAAGCCTATATGAAATGTAAATGAAACATAACATTATTATTTTTCCAGTTTAAGAATCACATTTCAGATTAAAGCAAAAAGTGATGTCAGGATAACCCAGTTATTTGGAAATTAACTGATGTACAAATACATTGTGCTTTTGAATATATATTTAGTTCTGGGATAACGCATTCTGAGTTTACCAATAATACAATGTGCCAGAAATCCTACCGTATAAAATGCATTTTTTAAAAAAACTTTCAGCAGAATAAGCTTGTGTGCTTGAAGAGAATCCAACTCTAGATATGCATTAGACGATTATTTTGCTTATGGAATTGAATTTTCCTCAGTAAATAGTAGGAAATGCTGATACTTCTTGAAAGGTTTGTTCCATTTATAAATCACTGGAAGAAATATGAAATTCTTACATCTGAGAGAACAATGAGTTGTTTTCTTAAGCATATGATAGAATAGTATTTTGGTTTAAACTACTACACTGAATTGTAAGTGACTGCAAAATATTGAAAGGTAAAGTCAAATGTGAATTGCGCAGAGTGCCTTAAAATATATATGTAATTAGTGCTTTTTATTTTCAAGGCTCTTGCTTCGTTCGTACGGATCAACTTGATGGTGAAACAGATTGGAAGCTGAGGGTAGCAGTTTGTTGCACTCAAAGATTGCCAGCTTTGGGTGTAAGTAACCGTTATTTGTTTCTTGTTTATGAAATACCCTACATGACAATGTACTGCTTTAGCATGCTTTTATATAGCCCTGAGAGCATTATAAAACTGAGGAATTCAGTGTAATTTGCATCACTGTCCTTTGGTTGGGATCTGTAATTGCTCTATCTATTATACATTTGTGATATGTGGCTGAATACCCAAAGCATCAGGACTGGAAATAGCAAGAGAGAAGAGATGAATCAAAAAGTTGTTGTTATGGGACCCTATGCTTGTTTTTTTTTAGACAAAAAAAAATCCCTGTAGATTGCTGAAAGAAACATAGAGCATTTCTTTGTTCTGCAAATAACAAATTGGATGGGCCAGTTACTTTTCGGAATCTAGCAATTGCAGTGCAGGCGTTTCCCTAGGAGTTGATGTGTGGGGTCCATAGGACCTTTTTTTTGGTGTGGTCTGTGGAAGCGTAATATGCTGAATCTCCTTTCCTTGCTTGTGCATTTTGTTTTGAAAAACAAAAGCAGAATTGCTATGCTTCTGCAATAGAAACTTCTGTAGTGAAAAGCCACCCATAAATAATGGTGTCAGCTATGCAGCATGTGTTGCAGGAGGGTATCCTTCTAGTATTGAGAATGTATAATATTGCAAGATAGATTTTTTTCCCTAAACATCTGCAGTTAAAACACAGAATTTTATCACTAAGCTGTTAGAATTTAATTTTCAATTTTTTTTAAGCGATTTGCTTTTAAGCATTTAGCTATCAATAAAGCATCATGTAACTAACATTTGGGTTCAGGCTAATGTTTGGGTTCAGGTTCTGAAGCCTAAATATAGACTTAAATGGTATTCCTATTTTAAAGCTTATCTTTTGCTAAACAAATATGGGTGTCTGATTAAAACATTGATTACAAATATGTTACAGATCAAACATTTGAAATGTTTTAGGTAATGTGTTTTACAATCTGTACTAAAAAATAACAGTTTGTCCTTTGTTATCCCAAGCTACGTAACACTGGTAACTCCAAAATAGTAGCAGCTTTATGGGTTATTTGCTAATCAAAAGGTGATTCAGGGGTTTATATCATAAATATTTAAGTACAGTTTATATAGTATAAATTATATAGTATAAACTGTATAAAGATGTAAATATTAGCTTGCTTAGATGTTTGAAAATTTATATAAGAATAGCATAAATCCTATGTGTAAGGCAAGATCAAATTGTGCTAAGGGTCTAATTGTGGGTGGTTTTCATTGCAAGTCACCCAAGCCATGACGCACCCAACATAGTTTCAAAAGAAACATTTTCCACATCTTGATAGTATTTCTACAGTTAGATAATATGAAGTGCTGTTCAGCAAAGGTTAAAGTTCAACTCAATGCTTAGGACAATAATTACCTTTGAAACACTTTGAGGCATTTCAATATCATAGGTGCTATAGCAAATGCAAATTTATTATATCTGTGGTTTCATACTGACCAATGTGTTCCGCAAAGGATCTGCCATAGAGGACTTTTGCATTTTCAAGTCCTGAGACTAGAAAAATAGTTTCCATGGAAGTAACACTTTTCTACAGTACCATATTCTATTTTCAGAATTAAAAATAAGTTAATTGGAAGTATAATGGTTATTACTGTTATAACAATAATAATTTCTTGCATTTGAGAAAGTGCTTTGTCGTGTTGTTGAAAAGTCCCAAAACACTTCAAAGGATTTACTATCAGTTAAGTTCTGCCTTCCTTGTGAAATATACGGATGTATCCATTTGTTTTTTGTCACAGTAGGGCTTGTCAAAATGAAATCTCAGACAAGTTGAATTAAAGCAAATGGTTAACCTAGGACTGAATTTTGTATTATTTATTGGCTAAATTCTCTGAAAATGTCACTGGACTATTTTGATTTGCAGACCGATTCATTGATAGTTAGAACAATAGATGTAATTAACTTGCAAATTGTTCCTGAGATCTGCAAGAGAACAAAGGTGAAAACTGGCCAAATAGCAAAAGAATATCTTGTATTGTAAATTGTAAACCCCATTGTAACTATTAATTTGTACATTTGGAAAATCCATCACATTATTTTATAAGAGTAAGTGATTCATTCTGGTCAAGCGTGTTAAGATAGTCTGACTAGAAACCTATACAAGGCATGACTTCTGGGTCTGGACTTGACAGGAGGACTGTCGGATGGGTATTTTAGACGGATTAAAACAAATAATCTGAAGGTTTCTTCGTCCAAACCTTGTAATCGTGTATTTTGGCAATAAACAATATCCTGTTTGCTTTGTTTGTTGCTGCCTCACACTATTTTGATATGTTGAGCCTTGATTCAACTAACACCCCTTAGGTCTCTTTCAGCCTCTCCATTGGCAGGTTCTATTCATGGAGAATACGGAGCCTCTGTTTTTTTTAAACTTCCTAAATGCACTACCTTGCATTTATCTGAATTAACCTTTGTTTGCCAGTTGTACATACACTATCAAGCTCTTTTTGTAAGGCTTTTTCTGCCTCCTCTGATTCTACAGTCTCTCCCAACATGTACTTCTCCTGCTGAAAGATGTACAGAACTGTATCCCAGTTTAAGAGAGAACTACACAACATTGGGGGATGGACCCTAATATTTACTTACCAAATATCAAAGTTGACTCACTTCAAAGTGCATTGTCATACTTCAAACCCTGGCTGGCTTCCTGGATTTCTTTTTTAAAAAAGGCCACCTATTTGATCACCAGATAGATGCTCCATGCATTTTTTACAGGATTTACTTTAGTGTAGTGACTGTTCTAACAGGCAATAATTGTGTTCTTGTGTTCACTTGGAGTAGTTAAACTGAAGATCTGAGTAATAAATATTTTGTTTAATTAAATTTAGTATGTAAGTATTTGACCAGACTTGTGTAAGAAAACTTAGTTTCCTAAGCGCTCCGGGACACTACCCCGCATGAAGGGCGCTATATAAATGCTTCTTGTCTTTTAAAAAATATTAAAGGTGAAGTATGATTTGAAGTTGATTCATAACTGTAATGACTGCAACAGGGGATTGCAAGGGTTTCTTCCAATGAGCAAATTTACAGAACCTTACTCAAAATGGAGAGGAATGGAAAGAAAATTAAACAAACTAAAATCAAATTTAAATTAAATTATTTTTACTTTAATCAAGCTATTTACGCTTTTTGATTTTGGTCATTGAATATGCTTCAGGCAAAATACTTAAGGGGTGCAGCATAAAACCTTAAAATGTATTAAAGTATGCATAAGGATAAGTTATCCATCTATGGATTTTTTGTTACATGGAGACAAAAACTATTGTGGAAAAAATGCTGGTGGTTTGTTTTCAACAGAAAATGTATTTTAATCCTATGAAAACCAACAACAAAGTTGAAGAACTGCAGCAAATGACAAATTAAGCTTCTGCAAAAACATATTGATCTGAGAATTTAAATAAATCAAGTATCTGGTTTTGCTTAGCATCCGAAATGTTCAAATGGACCTTAATTAAATTGGTAATTTGCAAAATCTTTTTTTAAATCTGATTTTACAAAGCTCCTGAACATGTGTTAGGTTTTTCTTTAAGCATCACAAAACTGAGTGTAATTACAGACTGAAGTTAAATGGAGTCACTTTTTATACACAGCATCAATGAAAACTGGTAGTTTCCAAATGGAGTAAAAAAGTTAATAGGTTTGCATTCAGTTACTGCGATTGAATTGGAACCACTTAAGAAATGGAAATGTGACCATTTAGTCATTTGTCTATAAGATAATATCATTAGTAAAGGGGAAGGTGCATACTGTACCAACTACTGAGGAACATGATCCAAATTGCAGAAAATAAAATGTAATATGACACTCGCACTAAAATTGCTGTACGTTTACAATTTTAAAGTGGAGTTTAAATTTGTGTACATAACAGGTGTTTGCTTATCGTGATATGGAGAATAATCCATTTAAGCAGAGTAATTGAGGGGATCATGTGCTGCTTTAAAAACCTTCTCTTGCATTATAAAAATCATTTGGACCAGGTCTTTTAAAATACATTTTTCTTTCACTTGGAATCAACAAAACTGAGTTTTTGCAAACTTCTAAAGCTGATTCCTTCAGCTTCCCATTCTCCCTGGCTCAGCCTTATGGTCTGCTATTTGTTTGGCGCTCCAATGTTGCCCTGAGGAAAGGTGCTATATAAATGCAGGTTGTTGATACTGAAGTATAGAATTAAAGAAAATGCAACAATTTTCTCAGAAGACCATGTAATTTATTGCATGTGGCACAAAAATGTTAAGTAGTTCTCCCAGAATGATTTGATACATTTCTAAATCAGTCCGACTGAAGATTTGATAAATTTCATAATCTGTAGGTTAGTTTTAATGATCTGAATTTAAAAACCTTCATAGCTTCCCAGTTTTGACGCTCTCTTGCTTCCCTTGTAACACGACTCAACATTAATAATAATAATAATCCTTGCATTTGATATAACACTTTTCACGTCTTCTAGACGTCTCAAAGCGCTTCACAGAATATACTGTAAAGTGAATTGACTTTATATTTGTGGGAGAAACGAGGCAGCTGATTGTGTATAGCAGTATCCCACAAACAGTCGTGAATTTGACCTCCATTGTTCTGGAGATCAAATGTTAGTGATGTAAGAAAAAAAAGTGTGCTCAGATTTTCTCGTCTTATCAATAGAATGGTGGCGCTGAAAAGCTTTGGACTGGCTTTTTGACCATGTGCTGAAGTGAGGGGGGAGAGGGAGAAAGGGGAGGAGAGGGGATTATTGAACCTACATCTTTGTTTATAGACTCAGATGGTGCAATTGTTTAACACAATAGATTTTTTAACTGAAAAATATTGTATGTTTTATCCCTAGTTTTCTTAGTCTGCTTTAATATTGCATGTTTTAGCCCCCTATACTATAGTGCAATAGTGTCAAAAATTGTATCTCAATATTTAGATCACAATTTTTCTAGACAATCAACATTTTTTTCTTTTTTTGCTGCATATTATGTACCTACATTATGTACCT